ACGGATATGTTGGTTCTATTTACGTTGACGAAGAGTCAACGGGTTCGGATCAAGTACTGCACATGGAAATCTGGCTCCTGAGAGCCACTTGTATCCTTTCCCTTTGAATCACTGTGTCTAACTGCTTTTCTTTATATCTGGTATATGTATCTGATTGGTTAAACGTGAAAGACCATGATTTTACCCTATATGTTTGGTACCTCATTGAGCGCAAACTCACCCCTTTCTGTTACCTTTGTTTTCCTTACAGGGGACAAACTTGGAAATCACGGTTTTGGAAGATAAGGGTCAAGCTAGTATAAATGTCATGTTGTTAAGCTCTTTTGAAAACGAAACCCTAAATGTATTTTGTGTAGTATGAGTACTTTGGATTGCACCGTATGTTAATTTGTTCAAGACTCCAATGTAAACATATGTATAAGTGTTTTACCTTGTGTATTAAATGTATTTCGTTGAGACTATGTTTTCATGGTTTCGTAAGCATGTTCTCACCTTAGTAGTCTCCGATTGTTCGTTTTCTTTGGGTCATATCGCGCGTACTATATTGGGTTTGTGTGAATCGACTCTGTAGTCCTGGTGAGAGTTGGGCAGGCAGTCCGCTGAACCCTTTGGTTCACCTTAGGGTGAGGTGGGGCTGTCACAGGTTGAGGGAACACTTGCCTATCCATTTCTGCGAGAATGAGCGCTCCCCGGTCAGAATTTTCTGGACAATAAAAGTGCCTTGCCAATTTGGTGCAAATTTCCCCTTAGCTTCCTCTTGTACTGGCAAAATGTGTTTCAACACTTTATCTCATTCTGTGAACATTCGTGGTCTGACCTTCTTATTGTAAGCATGGGCTACCCTCTTTTAATAACATTGACCATGACAAATGACATTTAACCTTTTTTCATCGATTAAAGGAAACTACTCATGACGTTATTGAATTCACTCAGCCTCCTCCAGTTTGGCCTCCATTAAAATGCGCAAAGAAGGGATTTCGACTTCGGCTGGCAAAACTGCTTCTATTCCGTACATGACATTGTAGGGAGTTTCCCCAGTAGAAGTACGAATAACAGTTCTATATGCCATTAATGCATAAGGGAGCTTCACGTGCCAATCACGGTGTCTCTCAATCATCTTACGGATTATTTTCTTCAAGTTCTTATTTGCAGCCTCTACTGCTCCATTCATCTGTGGCCTATAAATAGAGGAGTTTTGATGCTTGATTTTGAACTGTTCGCACAATCCATCCACCATGTCATTGTTGAGATTTTTGGCGTTATCAGTGATTAATGTCTCTGGCACTCCAAAACGACAAATGATATGCTTCCTTAGAAAATCCGTCACCACCTTCTTAGTCACATGCTTATAAGACTCAGGTTCGACCCACTTGGTAAAGTATTCAATCGCCACTAGAATAAATCGATGCTCATTTGAAGCGGGAGGGTCAATGGCTCCAATCACATCCATACCCCACATTGAACATGGCCAGGGAGTAGTCCTACTTTGTAATTCTGTAGGGGGAGTGCGCATAACATCTCCATGCAATTGGCACTTGATGCATTTCCTAACAAAAATTACACAATCATGCTCCATTGTAAGCCAAAAATAGCTTGTCCTCATGATCTTCTTTGCTAATAAATAGTCATTCATATGTGATCCATACACGCCACTATGTACTTCTTTCATCAAATAATCTGCTTCATCATCATCAACACACCTCAGAAGGCCCAAATATGACGTTCTTTTGTATACTATCTCTCCATTCAAGAAAAATTTAGATGATAATCTGCGCAAGAAGCTTTTGGCAGTCGTATCGGCCCTAGGAGGGTAGGACCCTGTTTTGACAAATTCCTTAATATCACTGTACCAGGGACGGCCATCGGGAGATTTTTCCATAACCAGGCAATGAGCAGATTTTTCTTGCAAATGAATCTAGATAGGTTCGATCACCAACTCGTCTGGATGTTGAATCATCGAAGATAAAGTGGCCAAAGCATCGACGAAGACATTTCTGGCACGTGGAATATGTCGGAACTCCAAACTTCTAAATTTATTTGCCAAATCCAATAAGCTACAGTGATAAGGCGCGATCTTTGAATCCCGAGTGATCCACTCTTTGAGAGTCTGATGCACGAGCAAATCGGAGTCACTGAACACTATTAAATCCTTAATCTCCATTTTCAACGCCATTTTTAGCCCAAAAATGCAAGTTTCATATTTAGCCATATTGTTAGTACAGAAAACCGCATTTTAGCAGAACCAGGATAATGTTTTCCTTCAGGTGATACCAGAACAGCTCCAATACCAGCTCCAAAGGAGTTTGATGCACCATCAAAGAATAGCCTCCATTCAGAGCATTTTTCATTCATGTCTTCTGCTGTACTAACAGACAGGATCTCCTCATTTGGAAAATAGGTGTAGAGTGGTTGATAATCGTCCTTCCTTGGGTTTTCGGCCAAGTGATCCGCTATCGCCTGCCCCTTGATGGGCTTTTGCGTGGTAAAGATGATGTCAAACTCTGAAAGAATCATTTGCCATTTAGCCATGCGTCCAGTTGGCATTGGTTTCTCCAATAAATATTTCAGAGGGTTTGACCGAGAAATAAGATAAGTGGTATGACTAAGCAAATAATGCCTCAACTTCTGAGCTGCCCAGGCCAATGCATAGCAACTCTTTTCAAGAAATGTATATTTTGCCTCATAAGACGTGAACTTCTTACCGAGATAATAAATAGCTTGTTCCATCTTTCCAGAATCGTCATGCTGCCCCAAAATGCATCCCACAGCCTCGTTGAGTACAGATAAATACATAATCAATGGTCGACCCGGCTTGGGTGACACTAAGACCGGGGGGTGCAATAAGTAGTCTTTAATCTTATCAAACGCGTGCTGGCACTCTTCACTCCAATGCAATGGCACATTCTTCTTTAACAATTTGAACAAGGGTTCACATGTATGGGTCAACTGGGCGATGAATTTTCCAATAAAGTTAATCTTTCGTAATAAACTCTCCACGTCTTTTTGCGTTTTTGGCACTGGCATTTCACGAATGGCTTTAATCTTTACCAGGTCTATCTCGATACCCTTCTTACTGACAATGAATCCCAATAACTTCCCGGCAGGGGCCCCGAATGCACACTTTGCAGGGTTTAATTTCAAATCATATCTTCTCAATCTTTCGAATAACCTTTCCAAATCAATCAGATGATCCTCCGCTCTCTTGGATTTGATGATGATGCCGTCCACATAAACCTCCATCTCCTTATGAATCATGTCATGAAACAGGGTGGTCATGGTCCTTTGATAAGTGGCTCCAACATTTTTCAATCCAAACGGCATTACTCAATAGCAAAAAGTCCCTCATGGTGTGATAAAAGCAGTTTTCTCCCTATCTTCTTCAGTCATTAAGATCTGGTGATACCCGGCAAAATAGTCAGCAAATGATTCAATCTCATGTCCTGTGGTATTGTCTAAAAGAATATGAATATTCGGCAACGGAAAATCATCTTTCGGACTTACTTTATTAAGATCCCTGTAATCAACACAAACTCGCACTTCTTCACTTTTCTTTGGGACAGGTACGGGATTTGAAAGCCAAATGGGATAATGAGACATCATGATAATTCTAGCATTGAGCTGCTTCTCGATTTGTTCTTTGATTTTAAGGCTCATATCAAGCTTAAACTTGCGAGGTTTTTGCTTTACTGGTGGAAAATTTGGATCAGTCGATAATCGATGGACCACTATATCCGTTGAAATTTCGGGCATATCATCATAGGACCAGGCAAACACATCTTGAAACATGGTAAAAAATTCAATCATCTCTTTTCTCTGTTTCTTGTTCAAATGAATGCTAAGTTTTATCTCCTTAACTTCAGTCTCAGTGCCAATATTAACAACTTCTGTTTCTTCTAAGTTCGGTTTGGATTTATCTTCATATTATTCAAGATTCTTTAATAAAGAGTCAGATTCTTCACCATTATCGTTCTCGTCTTGAATTTCTGATTCCAAAATTTCAAATTCGTGAGTGATATCGAGGTTGCAATCATCAAATTCCAGAATAGTGATATCCATAAGGTCAATGTGTTTTATTTTCGGCCATCTGAAAAAGAATAAAATAGACACAACAATGCATAAGTAAATCAAAGTTGGGAAATAACACTGTGCATTTCATTGAATTTCAAAGTGAATGATAACATTAACATGCAACTTAACAAGAAACATGAGATTTGCATTGAAACAAAAAAAAACATTTGATAGAACTATTTACAAACCGTAATACAAAAGATAAGTAATACGAATGATTTCTCTCATATCAATCAAGGGCAATCCCCTAGATTTATCGAAATCCCCTTCGAGGGGGAAGGAGATCACTGGTCCAATTCTTCATTGCTTCGATAGGCACCTCTGGAAATTCTGGGTCCTCCAACGGCTCCCTCTCAGAAGTAACCCCCACAAATAGCTCAGATAATCCAACCTCCACTTCCTCGATTGGGTCCGCTTCAGATCTAATCACTTCTGTCGGATAAGGAAAGTACAGTACAATGGCGAGATACCCATGATAAGTTGCCTTCCTTCCTTCTCTGCCCTTTTGCGATTCATCATTTCTTTCTTATCTTTGGCAGTAGGTTGAAATCCTAACCCAAAAGTATCCTTCTTTCCTTGAACTTCTATTGGTTCCAAAACTCCTTGTAGGTTGCGCCCGAGACCCTTGCCTATTTCATATCCTTCTCGAATCATTTCTTTGACCATCATAACACTAGCTTCTGGCAAAATCGTTCCTCCCACTGGCTTCCCCTTAGATATCCATCCTACAGACACAATGTCAGCCACGTGGTGAGGAGAAACCAGAGATTTTTTACTACCCTCATCATTTGGTCCAGAATTAACAATCATCGTACAATCATCCTCCGCAAAAACTGTGATCAATTGGCCATCCACAAACAAATCTCAACATTTGATGGAGCGAAGATGGTATACCGCCTGAAGTGTGAATCCAAGACCGTCCAAGGAGAATGTTATAAACACTTGAAAAATCCATGATTTGACATATGACTTGGAATTGGGCAGGTCCGATTTTCAGCACTAAATCCACTTCTCCTATCGGTTCCCTTTTCGCGCGCATCGAATACTCTTACCACAGTGGTAGACAATCGCAGTTTAGCCTCTTGAAACCCTAACTTAATCAGGGTATTCCATGGACAGATATTAAGAGCAGATCCATTGTCTATCAGAACCTTCGGCAAGAGTTTCCCGTTACAGCGGACTGAGATATACAATGCTTTGTTATGTCCAATCCTCTCGGCGGTCAAATCTTTGTCGGAAAATGAAATCTGGTTGGAAGCCAAAACGTGTTCAACTACATTAGTGAATTTATCAACTGGAATATCCTTAGGCACTTGAGTCTCATTTAATACCTTGAGTAAAGCCGCTCTATGAAGTTCAGAAGTCATAAGCAGATTCAACATAGAAATTTGAGTAGGCATTTTGTCCAATTGCTCAATCACTTTGTATTCGCTCTTCTTTAACATCTTAAGGAAATTAAAAGCCTCTTCGTCCGTCACAGTTGGTTTTGCTGGCGTAGCACTTTCTTTTGCTTTTAAGAATTCATCAACTGCAGGCTCCCCTATGATTCTTCCAGATCTAGTAATGGCGTCCACTTCCTTCTTGGGCACCTTCTCTCCTCCAATTAATAGTGTAGGTTCGCTATAATTCCATAGGACCTCTTGCAGATTAAGAACAGGAGCTTGCTCAGGTAGTTCAAGTACCACGAGCTCTGAAGGCTCGCATTCAAAAGGTATCATTTCTAGAATAAAAGGGTCAGTATTTTCCTTGACTTCATAGGCTTTCTCTTCCAGTATGAACGGTTCTCCGATGACTCCTATTATCTCAGCTTCATTCACAATGAATTGGGTAGGCTCCTCGACTTCCTCATCTACAGTAATAGCTCCCACAGTATCCTTGTGCGTAGAGAGAGGATTGTTGCTAACACTCGGCCTTTGTTCATCCTTCCTTCTTAGAACTATGTCTCCAGCATCTATCATATCTTGAATTTTGTGTTTAAGTGCCCAACAGTTGGAAGTGGAATGTCTAGGGGCTCCTGAATGGTAGGCACAAAACGACTGAGAATCATAACCTATGGGAAACCCTTTAGCATAGGTTTTCGGAGGTATTGTACCAATTTTTCCAGCTGCTTTCAATTGCTCATATAATTGGTCAATAGGCCGACCTAGATTGGTAAAGGTTCGGTAAGGGCGAGACCTAATTTGAAAGTTTGGTGGGGAAATGTGGAATGGCGTTGACGGTGTGTTTGGGTAATTTGGTCGAGGACAGGGATGGTTGATTGTGGTATTGTAAACAGGTCGGGGGCATGGTTGGTATAAGTAATGAGGTAAGTAGGCGGGATTTTGTTGGTATCTAGGCGGGGAAGAAGAACCTTGGTTCCAAACAAAGGAAGCTTTCTCGTCTTTCTTCTTAAACTGGGACTTTTTACTACTGCTACTTTGGCTTTGCATGGCTTCCAATTGTGACTTTAAAGATGAAACATTAACCATTTTTCCTGCTCTCACAAACTCATCATATTCTTCCAATTTATTGACAATTTCTGCAAAAGAACATCCAGTTATTCGAAAAATCTCCTCAAAGTAAGGCGGGTCATGAGCTTTGATGAACGTGCGAACGATCTCATTTTCGGTCATGGGAGGCTCCATCTTGGCGGCCAATTTCCTCCATCTCTTCGCATACGTCTTGTGGTTCTCCGATGGTTTCCTCTTGGTCCCATCTAATATGGTCCTCGTCGGAGCGAGTTCGCAATTATATTCGTACTGCCTCACGAAAGCGGTTGATAAATCCATCCAAGATCTCATATCCTCAAGTTTCAAATTGGAATACCAATCCAAAGCGTCACTTCTAGACTCTCGGAAAATAAGCGCACAGGCAGATTCTCATCGTCTATTGGTCTCCCTAGTTTGTTTGCAAACATCTGAAGGCGGGTTTTAGGATTGCCAGTTCCGTTGTACTTGGTAAATTTGAGTGCTTTGAAACCCATCGGCAATTGCATATCTGGGAATAGGCACGGCTCGTGGTAGTCCAGACCTCCTTGCTTGCTCAAACCTTGGCTTTTCTTTATGAATTTCTCGAACCGATCCAATTTCTTTAGCAAATTCTTATCCATCGGCACAGATGACTCTCCAGCTTCAGCTTTCCCCTGGGCGGCGGTGTCTAGAGTGAATGGCTCAGCGGTGGAGTAATAATGTGGTCCCTGAGGTTCGAATGGCATGCTCTAGTAATGGGCGGATAATTCCGAGGAATTTGGGTATGAGGAGGGTTAATTTGGATGTGTGGGCCGTGAGTGGGATAGGTAAAGGCTTCCTCAGGTGGATTTATAACTTGTGAAGTAACAAGGGTTTGAGTATAAGATAAGAATATTGGTTGAGGTTCAGATTGGCCTGGGGGTAAGGGTTTGTGTTGTTCACCGCTGGCACCACTAGCAACAAATTGATCGATCATGCACCGCTGGGCCACCATTTCGACACTTAGCTCATTAAATTGGTTTAGGACTTCGCTCAGCTGAGCTCTCAGATTCGCCAAATCAGTTGGTGATGTTGTTGTGGTCCTATCAAATGGTTTCGGATAGGTACTCATGTTTACACTTTCTCTCGAAGCTCGGCTACGTGATCGGGTGATAATGGGGCTTCTTCGGGTAGCTATATTTGCAACTTACTACCTGAGGATGTAGGAAAACCCTTATTAGATGCCCATCTCGATCAACTGTTGTTAAAAAGAAAGAAAAAGGAAAACGAAAAGAAAAGGAAAAAAAAAGGAGTTAGTAACAATTAGAGTAACTCGAATGCATGTCCTATTGGGGGTCCTTTTGTGCCAAGGGTAAGCCTAGTATGATGCAATACCTTCAGGGTAAAATCCCAATTTCAAACCTGTAAGTGAATATAAAAGCAGGAATTCTCATTAAACATTGATAAACTCAATCCTTCTTTACAATCTCATTGATGGTTCGACTGACCATTCTTACAAAATCCTCATGTCTGGCTAATCTAGTGTGTTGAGATTCCCTAGAACTCCCTATACTAAGCTTCTGAATCTCCTCTTGGATTTTATCGAATGCACCCAATATCTTTTCCAATTTCTCAATTTTTCTTACCTCTCTCTTCAATTGTGATCGGGCGTCTTCTAAGACTTGGTTGGCTACCATAATCTACAATTGGTGCTCCTCCAGTTCTTTCCTTAGTTTCTCATTCTGCTCTTCAAAACTAACGGAGGCCAACGGTAACCTTTCTCTTCTTTGTTCCATTGTCGATTTGATCCAGTCATTATATTCCAAAGTGACCTTAGGTTCTACCTTATTCACTTGGTCCAAATATAGATTGTCTAAGCTACGAAGATTCTCCCAAGCCTCCAACACCATACTCTGGCACTCAGCAATTGTATTGTATCGGATGCTCCCCATTCCTTGTACGGTCGGCACTCTCTACGGATACCCAAAATGTCTCATAACTCGTTGCGGGACGTATATAACTAATCCACTGGTGCTTGCTAACGGGATGAAACCAAGTTGTGTAGTCTTGAAAGCTGGATCCCTTACTTTCGTCCAATCGAGAATCCATTGTATCTTATCCGAAGTCAAAGTATCGAATTCTTGAATGAACCGACTCGGAGATGCTATTCAGTAATATCTTCTAACCCTTTCTCGATGCGACTCGACCCAATTGCTGTTGGAAGACATGATCCTAAGGGGTTTAGTATTCTTTTTGACATATGCTCTATTGCCCATATTTGAAGTACAAGGTTGGATGCGTAGAAAAACCCCCTCTCCTTTCGACACTTGGTAACAGCAGTGAAGATGTCGATAATGATAACAAGTACCAGGGTGGGAGTTTTTTCCCTTAATTCCCAGAAACACACTCTAAACCATGTTAACCGTTGAGAAGTAACTTTGCCATGCTTTTGCGGAAACAGAAGTAGATTAATCAGGGTCATTCCAAAGGCTTGTAGTCGATTATCCTCCCACTGCTCCCTACTAATGAAAAAATCGTCGCGGTGGTGGTCATAGGATTCTTTTTCCCCAAATCTCTTGTACAAGAACTCTAGTGGACATGATTTCGCGTCTAGGTGTTAGTCCATGCTAAACTGTCTTAACCCTAAAAACTTGCAAAATTGCTCTCTGGTTCCACTCGTTGGGTATACCATAGGGAAACCTTTCCCAGGTACTTGTAATAATCCTTCTATTTCCTCTAGGGTTGGTGTTAATTCACACTCTCCAAATCGGAAAACAGAACTGTTCGGATCCCAAAACTCAAGCAAAGCTTGGATGATGGCTACACTTGGGGTTATGTTCAGAAGACTAGGTAAATGCCCTATATACTGGAAAAGTCTATTCACTTCATGCGCCATATTGTTCCTCCAATCTATCAGCTCGCGAGGTATCTGATTTAGCATTCTACATGGAGCCATCTGAGGAGGAATTTCACTTTTAGTACCTTACCTTGGGATTTTACCCCTTAAGTAATACAAAAATAGTAAACATGCAAGTCTCATTGGATTAAATATCCGAAACATGTGGTGACTCATTTCTAACACGGGATTCCCTGGGTGGCATTCCCTTCTACGGTTTATGCATGATGCCTGTTTATTAAAGTGATAAAACATGCAATTTAAGATGAACACGACCTAAGGAACCTTTTATATGCCAGGATAGGCTCTAAAAGAGGATCATGCCAGACCTCTTATTTCCTAATGTTTGTGAATGCTAAGGTCAAGAAATAAAGAAAGTTAGTTCAACATATAATCGCATAGCACGTTGGTCAATTACATGATATAAAAGCAATAAAAAAAGTAATGAAAGAAGGGTGGAATCCTTCCCCTCGTGCCTAGTGTTCCTAATTGGGTAGGTTGACTCTATCCTAGACATTATCTATCATGGATGCATGAGGTTTGGCTTACTAATGCGTCTAGACTCAATGAGGCTTTCGTCTCCCAAGCATTCAGACCTAAAGGCGAAAGGTCATCAAACCCCATGGCCTTCGGTCGGTGGCTCGAGTGATCACTTAGGCATTGCTATAGGCGCAGAGTACACCATCCGCCTACCTAAGAAAGTCGATCCTAATCCTACAAGGTGATGTGGGAAACGCCCACGGAAAAAAGAAAAATAGGGTAAATAAAACTATACATGCACGTATGAAGTGCTTTTTATTTTGAGAGGAGGGATTATACCATTGAATGCGGACGAAGGTTCTAAGGTAACTATCCCCCCCACCCAAAAAATGCAAGCGTGATACAAATAAATAATCCATCCATTATTACATACACGGTGTGCGGGGAGTAATTACGCGCGAAATACAGAAATTCTAAAAAAAAAGAAAAAATGCATCCCTAAACATCCAAATACGATACATGAAAAGGATAGAAAAGGAAAAGAATAACAAAATCAAGTGCTCGGACCCACTTAGGAAGTTCCCAGTAGAGTCACCAAGCTGTCGCGCCCCATTTTTGGAAAAATCGAAAAAAGTCATTTGAAACCATAATGTGAAGTGTGTGAATGTGAGAAATAAATGAAAAGGCCATGGGACTTTTAAATGCGACGGTTTGGCCAAAATGATAATCTAAAAAGGTTTTTAGAAAAATAGGAGTCGCCACTTGATATTGAGTTGGGGTGTACCAAATCACCCAAAAAATAATTTTTGAAAAAGTGAAGTAAAAACCTTTTTAGATGACTCCTAGTCTACGAAAATCAAAGAGACGAGTTCGGGGGTCACAGTTGATAAAAAGAAAGGCAAAGACGAAGTCTAAGGCACCCTTTTACCCTAGCCTAAGATAGTTGCGTGATTTAGTCATAATTTTTCTAATTTCTAACTAAAAGATGTATTGCATTTGGATGTGTCTAATATGAATGCAAACCTAAATCTAATGATTGGTTCGAATGGGATAAAATGTCTCTTTTTGAGACTCGATTGGTTCTAATCGCATGAATTGTGATAGCTAATGGTGAACCCTCAAAGAGGTCACGAATAAATGCAAATGAATGCTCGAGTAAATAACGAGAAAAATGAGAGTGTGTGAAAATGTCTTTGAGTGTAAAAACAAGTGCCAGGTGTAAAAGTGCAAAGTGCAAGTGTGAAAATTGGTGTGTAAAGTGCAAGGGTGCAAATGAGTATGAGGGAGAGTGTAAGGTGCAAGTGTGCAAATGAGTGTGCAAAGTGTAAATGTTCAAATGAAAGTAAAGTGGTAGTGTGCAAAATGATAGAGTGGGTAAAGTGATGATGTGCAGAGTGAGAATGTATGAAGTGAGAGTGTGTGGAGTGATAGGGGGTAAAGTGATGATGTGAGAAGTGAAAATGTGAGTGTGAGAGTGTGTGAAGTGATAGGGGGTAAAGTGGTAATGTGCAAAGTGAGAATGTGAAAGTGAGAGTGTGTGACGTGATAGGAGGTAAAGTGATAAAATGCCTTTAAAAAATACATGAGCCCTAGAGAAATGCAAGCAAGATGGGTACGGGGAGGCTCTAAATCGTGACTTTTGATTTGCCATTTGGGTAGAAAGAAAACAAGAGTGCTAAGGCAATATGCAGCCATACTCGTCTGTTTCCCTTACCAGAAGGGCAACTGCCTAACCTAATCAAACAGATGACCCTAATAACTAGAATGAAATGCAAAATCCTAAAGATCGTGTTCCAAATGCGGAAAAAGAGTAAGGGTTCATGCAAAGTGTAAAATACCAAAAAGAAAAAAATGAATGAAATGTAGTGAAGGCATGCGAGTATGTACTAGCGAAGGACGGTCCTATTGGATCTAGCATTGGACTAGCCCTCTACTAATGCTCTCTCACAAGCATTGGACTTGTGAGCAATTGGGAATAAATAGCCATGATTAGCATTGGACTAGCCACAGCCATATCGTGCATCTACATCCACCATATACATAATCAATAGGCATAGTTAAAGCAGGTAGGCATGTGAGCACGCAATTCACATAACACGTAAGCATGCATATCTAGATGCCAAAACCCTAAGAAAGCGGTAACACATAGCACATAGGCATGCAAATCACAAACAAAGCAAAATGAAGCAAATAAACCCCTAACTATTACACTTGGGGAGGCCCTACTACAATCTAAGAGGAAAAGAATAAAATAAAATAATTAAATCCCTAACTATTACAACTTTGGCATTCAAGTACCTTTCAAATGATCAAAATTGAACTAAAAATAAATATACAAAACTAAAGCCAATAAAGCGAATGAATAAATAAATAAATAATAAGAAACATTCAAGAGGCATGCAATTAAACACATAAAGTCACATAGGGTACGTAGAGTCAAATAAAATAAGAAATAAGGGATAGGATGTACCTCCCTTGAGTTGGGACCTTAATGAAATGAAATTATTTATTTACCCTCCAAAATAATAAAAGAGTCAAGGCATCACTTTAATTAACAATTAATTACATGAAACAAAAAATTGGATAAAAAATGAAAAATAAACACGAAACAAAATTAAACACCAAATGGAATTACTTAAAGTATTTTACATAAAAGAAAACATCAATATTTCGAGAAATTAAAGCGGAAAAGAACCTAATTGAAATGATTATAAAAGTTCTAAGATTAAGTACTAAAATTAGTGACTCAAAATGGAATTTACCAAATCAAATGCTAAACTTATAAGAGAGGGGATGAAACTTATTTTTTAGGATCAAAAGATAAAATTAGCCAAGATCTTAATCAACGGAAATCAAAACTACAAATTCTTCAAAAATTATTAAGCTTTCCTATTTCATCCTAAAATTCAGGAAAATCTATCCACAAACCAAATGAAAACATATCAAGGAAAAAATAACATGCTAAAGGGATAAAAATGATTAAATTATGCAATTTGGGCCACAATTGAATTGGTTGAAACAACAGGGAACAAAAATGCAATTTTTTGATAACATTTCCATGCAAGCTTCATGCAAAGCTTCTGCAACTCCTCAGCTATGTGGTTTCTGCAATTTCTTACTCATTCGGCCGAAATAACATTCATGCAAATGACTCAAGCACATTCCCACTCATTCAAACACAAAATGCAAAGACTTGAAACAAAGGTAGGGGAAAGATCTAACAGGCTTTCGAACTCAAAAAAAGCAACAAAATGATCTGGAAAACATGCTAACTTTTAAAAACAAGAGCTTATGCAGCCTTCTCAGTTTCTTATTCAAGCAACAAAATTAGCGCTATTCATTTTTGTCATGAGCAAAGTAATTTGTACACAATCAAATCATTCTAATGAGGTAGATAAATGAATCCAAACCACAAACCAAAGACATGCAGCTTTAACTTGGTTCGAGCATAACAGAATACAAGGGAAAGAAAACAAGGAACATCAAAATCACAATTTCCTTGCTAGTTTCTGGTTTGAAGAAAATTTTCTTTTGCAAAGGAAACCATTTCCATTATGCATCCATTACACCACGCTGAACCCAAAGCAAGAGAAAGGACAAATGCAACCCAGAAATAGCAAACAAATCCCAAAAGTTAAGCAAACCCAAAAAAAAAAAACTTCAGCAACCCAAGAGAAAAAGAAATCTATTCGCATAGCTGCAACATGACCTAGAGTGACTCTCGGCTCCTCTAAGCTCCAATGTATAACCTAGAAATGACTCGATACAAATCCTAACTTATTCCAGCATAAAAACTTGGGACAAAGGGGAGAGGGAAAATTCAACAAGGCTCCTAAACATGAAATGCAGCAAGGTAATGAAACGGATTCACCCAACTCCAACCGAAGTTCGGCAACAGTGCAAGGTGATATAAACATCTATTGACCCCTAACTCAGAACTTCGAGAAAACATTCTAAAGCCCAACCAAGACAACAAACAAGATACTAAGAATAAAATGGAAGGGAAAACAGCAAGAAAACAGCAATAAAGCACTACCCACGTAACAGCAGGAAGGAAACATCAATCAGAATTGCCCAAAGTTTTATGCCATTTTTCTGGATTTGCTTGTTCATCATACGAACAGAAGCCATAAACTTAAACAATAATCTATGACACTAGCTTACAGGAAAAAAACCTAGACTTCCACCTCAAAACTCAGTCTAAACCAAACCCCACTATAGATCTGTACCTGCCAAAAAAAATTCTGAATAAAGATCAATCAAAGTTGGAAACTTTCTGCAATTTTTCTTTCGGGCCAAGACACAATCATGCAAGATACCGACTCATTACCCAAACTCCAGATTTTTCATTACCCAAATGAGAACCATCAGTCATATTGAAGCCGAAACAAAACCAGTAAAGAGCAAAGGAATGCAAGCAAACAACTAAAGAAAGCAGCTTTCAACTATAAAAGATGAATACAATACCTTAATCAAGGAATGGAGCGTGGGATAACCAAGAAAAGGCTCAAATGATTCTTCCAGATATTCGAAGGAACGTCAAACGATGATGAATGAAGACCCAGTCGCCTCCCCTCTTGCAACCTCCAGCCAAAGATCCTTCTTGCTCTTCCGTCACACACTGTTTCCTTTCTCTCAAACTTCAGGCTCTCCCTCTCTCTCTCACACTCTCCCCCCAAGCTCTCTTTTTCTAAACCTAGTCGCCACCTCTATATGCTCTCTCCCTTAGCCGTCATTCCCTTTCTTTTTCGCTTTCGGTTGTTACCCCATCTCCCATTTCTCTCTTAGCCGAAAGCCTTTTTTCTATTTCTGCCCTCCCCGCCATCACCAGAGTCTCCTTTTACTAGCTGCGTTTTCAAGCATTTAAAGGAACCCAAAACCTAAACCTACGATGGAAGCCTGAGATCTCAAATCCCAAAATGGGTTTATGTGGCCTGCTCTTGCCCTTTTGATCCCACTTGTACTGAGAATCCTTTGGAGGAACGAATGAAAAGTCAGCTGCAATTTTTCTGTACTGCACGTATCTGGTTTCTGATATGAAGCTGAGGAAGGGCTTGGATCGTGTGTAGCTCACACAAGCGTGAGCTTGCTTTCTCCTTTTTTTTAAAAATAACAAACAATGAAGTAATTTTAACAACAAAAATGAAAATAAAACAAGATTAACCAAAATAAATGAAATGCTAAAAAAAATTTTGATTTTGATTGATGATTTTTCTTTTATTTTATCATATATTTCACTAATTTTCACTTAATTTAGGTAAACAAACAACAAATTTCATAAATTAAATCTAAAAGAATTAAAGCATATTTTTGTGAACAATTTTGTTTTTTCTGAAATTTAATACTAAAATGTCTTAAAATAAAATTAAGCGACTAATTAAGCAAGAAATGAATAATAAATATATTTGATCAATAAAAATGAAAATAATAACAAATAAAGCTAAATTAAAAAGATTTGGTATCTAAAACGCTAAAAAAATGTCTAAAATAAAATCATGAGATTAATAAGTAAAAAAAACTGATGATTAAGACAAAATAATAAATAAAAATAAAAATTTTGGTGTCTACAGCTGATGGTGACCGTGGGACGGCATCCTCGGTGCCGAACTATTCCCACCAACTTTGTTGTGGCAAAGCTGATTCCCCGTATAACTTGCTCTTGGGGCGACCTGCCCTAAATGTGTTGCGAGCGATACACTTAACGTATCATTTAAGTTTCAAGTCCCTACGCCAACGGGTATAGCCGAGGTCAGCAGCGATGTCTGTGCCGCTAGAGAATGCTGCCTCGCCACCCTCCAGGCAGTCTCCTCGTTATCGGCCGAGCTGAAAACCGAGGGTAAAAAATCTCGCATCTTCTCGATCGACTGTCTAGATCTTCAAAATTTTGGGAAGCTTGAAAGGCTAGAGACCGGAGATAAGGTCGAAGAAGTCCTTCTGGATCCTACAAAACCCGAGCAAACCATCCGCATTGGCGCCTGTTTTCCGGAGCCACTTAAGGGTGATTAATCTCCTTAAAGAGTACCAGGATGTCTTCGCTTGGACTGCTGATCAGGTAGTGGGGGTACCCCACCACCTCATGATACATGAGTTGAATGTTTACCCACGCGCGAAGCCTGTTAAGCAGAAAAGGAGACACTTCTGCCCGAAACGTGATAAGGCCGTGATTGAAGAGGTGGACAAACTCTTGCCGACACAGATGATTAAAGAAGTGCAATATCCACCTGACTATCTAACCCTGTTATGGTCAAGAAGGACGCCGGAGGGTGGAGAATGTGTGCGGATTTTATGGATCTGAATAAGGCATGCTGGAAAGATTGTTACCCACTGTCGAAAATAGACTTCCTGGTTGATTCGGCAGTAGGTTACTAGATCCTCTGTTTCCTAGATGCCTTTAAAGGCTATCACCAGATAGAAATGAGTGAGACAGACCAAGAGAAAATGGCCTTTTTTACAGATTAGGGAATCTACTGCTATACCACCATGCCCTTCGACCTAAAAAATGCTGGGGCAACATATCAAAAATTGGTCAACCGAATTTTCAAGTCCCAGATAGGCAGGAACGTCGAGGCCTACGTCGATGACATCATCTTGAAAAGTAAGCATGCCTCGGCGTTCTCATCCGATGTAAAAGAAGTCCTCGATATCCTCCGGATACGAGGATGATGCTCAACCCCAAGAAGTGCATATTCGGTATGACATCAGACAAGTTCCTAGGGTATCTAGTATCGCACCGAGGTACAGAAACAAATCCCGACAAGGTGAAGGCGATTCAGGGGATGTCCTCACCCCGAAGCATCCGAGACGTCCAAAGGTTGACGGGAAGATTGGCAGCTCTAAATCGGTTCTTGTCACAATCTGCCGCAAGAGCGCTGCCGTTCTTTAAAGTGCTGAAGAAGGCCGACATGTTCTCTTGGACTGAGGAATGCCAAAGGGTCTTTGAGCAAATGAAGGAATACCTGCATCAACTCCCTACTCTTACCTCACCTCGAGTAGGAGAGACATTATATCTCTACGTGTCCGCGGGTGAAAAGGCGGTGAGCGCAGTCCTGATATGGGATGATAGTTTTCAGGTCCCAATATATTATGTTAGCCGGGCTCTCCGCGGGCTGAAAACCTATAAACCCGGACCGAAAAGCTCGTGTGTGGGGTTAGTGCATGCGGCTCAAAGGTTGAAACTTTATTTTTTAGCTCACCCCATTCGGATTAGGACGGACCAACCTATCAGACAGATATTCCCCGACCCGAAGCCTCAGGGCGCCTCACCAAGTAGGCAATTGAGTTTGGGAAGTATGATCTCACATATGAGCCGCGGACTGCTATCAAAACCCAGGCCCTTGCCGACTTCCTAGCTGAACTTACATTCACCTCGGACCAAACTAGCACCTCGAAAACGCCGAAGCCACAAAGATGGGTTTTGCATGTGGATGGTTCTTCTAACAGTGAGAGTAGTGGAGCCGGACTGCTCTTCGAAGACCCTCACGGAGATGCGTATTCATATGCTCTCCGGTTTGACTTTGCTGCCTCCAATAACGAAGCTGAATACGAGGCTGTCATTGTAGGCCTACAGTTAGCCTGCCAACTAGGAGCCTAGCATATAATTGTTTATAGCGATTCCCAACTTGTTGTATGCCAGGTATTCGGGGAATATGAGACTAGAGAGGAATCCATGCAACGGTACCTTTCTAAAGTCCACCAATTGGCAGCCTATTTCAAATCCTTTGAAAGACAAAAGATCCTCCGTTCCCAAAATCGACGAGCTGATGCCCTATCCAGACTTGCTTCTACCTCATTCTCTGCTCTCAACAAGACAGTTCTCGTGAAGGTCTTAGCCGAACCTGGTTATATGGAGGATCAAGTCTATCCGGTGGCCTCGGGGGACACCTGGATGACTCCACTGATCAAGTTTTTGGATCAAGGCCTTTTTCCAGATGATAAGGCCGAGGCAAGAAAGATGCAGCAAACAGTAGCCCGATATACCATCCGTGATGGCCGTCTTTATAAGCAATCTTACCTCGGGCCGTGGTTGCGATGCATCACCCCGAAAGAAGGAGAACGTACTCTTAAAGAAATATACGAGGGCCTCTGTAGGGTTCATGTCGGGTACCGGGATGCTGGTCAAGAAAACCCTGCTTCTCAGCTATTTTTGGCCAACTTTAAGACAAGACGCCCAACTCTTGGTACTCTGTTGCCCTTCTTATCAGCATCATACTCTGGAGCACCACCACCCAACCAATTTTATGATCCCCATCACTTCATCCTGGCCTTTCGAGCAATGGGGAACAGATATCATTGGACCTTTCTCTCAGGCGGTAGGCGGTTATACCCATATAGTTGTGGCCATCGACTACTTCACGAAGTGGGTCGAAGCCGAGCCTTTGAGAAGCATAATTGGTCTGGCCATTCAAAAATTCTTTTGGAAATGTGTGGTTTGTGGCTTTGGCTTGCCCCGGGTAGTCATCTTGGAGAATGAAAAGCAATTTGCGGATAATCCCTTCAAAGCGTTGTGTGAGAACCTGGGAATCAAGCAGCACTTTACCTCGGTGGGACACCCCAACCTAATGGACAGGCCGAGAAATTCAACCGAACGCTCCTCCATGGACTCAAGACCAGGTTACATCACCTCAGATTTTCCTAGGTAGACGAACTCCCCAGCGTGCTGTGGTCCTACAGAACCACGCCGAGGTCTGCTACTCGCGAGACACCCTTCTTCTTAACCTACGGATCTGAGGCGGTAGTCCCCGCTGAATTCATTACTCCAAGTCCTCGGATGGCGGCTTTCACCGCCAAAGTGAATGACGAAGAAAGAAAGATTGACCTCGATCTAACAGACGAGATCAGGGATGCCTCCGCAGCACGGATAGCCCTTCACAAGAATATCCTCGCCAATTATTATAACGCCCAGGTTAAATACTTTCGGTTCAGACTCGAAGACCTGGTCCTACGAAAGAACTCCATTAGCCGATCTGAACCACAAGGCAAGCTAAATCCGAGGTGGGAAGGCCCATACCGAGTTGTAGATGCTAATCAAAGTGGTTATTGTAAGTTGGCCTATCGGGATGGTGCCCTTATACCCCGAACTTGGCATGCCGAAAATCTTAGATTGTATTATTCTTAAGTTGTTAAACAGTCAATATTATCTTTGGCATTACTTTGTGTTTAATGCTTAAGTTATTTTCTTAAACATCACTCCATGGTGTTGTTGAAGAAAATAAGGGGACAAGATAAATGAGAACGAAGTGAATTGAAAAAGAAGAAAAGATAACTTTCATTAATTTCGAAGGAGGAATACAAGTACAAGAAAAGAAGTGAGGTGGAAGAAGCTCATCTAAGAGCCACCCACCTCGGCGGAATCTGCACCCTCTCTACTATCACCCCCAGTGTCCGACGCTTGTTCGAATTCGACCATCTCGCGATTGAATTCTTCTCTGACTTAGGCCAGATCTCGCCCGGACTGGATGCCACTAGCCATGCGGTTGCATAATTCCTTACCATCATCGTTGTAGTTAGGCTTGTCATTTAGCATGTCTAGCTGCTCCGGAGTCAGAAAGGAAGCCACACCCTGGACAGCCGGGGTGTAGCCGAACATGAAGCTTGACAAAGACAACTCGCCGAGGTCTTTTATGAAGGTCTCGGAAGAGCGAAAAGGCTAGACCGCCGTACTACCGGCCTTCTCTATCACTTCTCGAGAAGACTGCTCCTCTTCTTGCCTTCATTTCTTTTCTTCCTCGAGGGCAGTCTCCAAGGAGTTGAGGATAGCTTTGAAATGTTCCATCTCGGCTGCCGCGGTGTCATGTTGCTTCTGAAGTTGGGCCTTTTCTTCTGTAGCCACATTTAATTCCTCCTCGAGCCGAGATACTCTGTCCATGAGCTCGGCAGGAGGTTGATTCTCGACCATGTTAGTGTACCTCTAGACGAGCTCAGATAAGAAAGCAGAAGCAGAAGCCCATGCAACCGAAGTGCTTTGCATTAGCTCTTCCAAGGTAAGTTTCTTCGCAAATGTGTGATTTCGGGGCAGACTAGAATGGAAGAGGAGGTAATGGGCAACTCTGGGATCCTTACATCTGTCATTGACCGAGACATCCCATTCTGGGCACCAGCGCCAACCGGAATGCCTTTTGTCCTCTCCTTCTGGCACGGATTGGACGAAGTGTTGTTGACCTTGGTCGATCAATCCTTGGTTTTGATGATTAACAAACCAAAATGTAGATTTGGGCTAATGTTTTTATGTGAGTAATTTGTTAGAACAGATTCTTGTGGCATAAAAGAAGAAGCAAAAACAGGGCACTCATGTCGGACGCTATCGGACGTCCGAAAGGATGAAGAACATCAAGAAGGAAACTCTGTCGGACGCTCGTGAGGAAGCATCGGACGTCCGGAAGGATCGGACGCACGCCTCGGACGCACATCGATCGCATCGGACGTCCGAGAAATTTCGCAAAGATTTGATGACTCTCTGCCTACGTTCGGACGCAGGGTTCGGACGTCCGACAGGCACCTGTCGGACGTCCGACAGGCCAACGGCTAGTTTTGACAGCATTTAATATTTGACCGTTGGAGAGTCTTTTGGAGCCATTTCTCACCTTCTATAAAAACCCCAAAGCACAAGAAGACTAGAGACTTTTGCCAACACAAAATACAAGCTTACAAGTGAGATTTTTGAGTAGAAAGATTCTTTGTTGGTTGTATAAGGGGTTGGGAAAGTTGGGTTGTGAGGTTGCTCAAGTGAAGGTTATTCTCTAAGAGGAGTAAAACCTTGGTGAAGTTGAACCTATCACTTGAAGTGGTAAAACCTTGGTGAAGGTTGCCTCATTTGTGTAAAATAGTTCTTAATTGGGTGAGTGATCTTTCAAGTGTAGGTTGTTGAGGGTTAACTAAAATAGTTGTAAAACTCCTTGGCTCAACCAAAGTGTGTTTGGGGTGAGGAAGGAGTGAACCTTCACTTGTACATCTTGGTTAGCATCGCCATCAATTGAAGAGGCTATTGGATTGATATTTGGTTTGCATTTCTTATCTTTTCTCTTTAATTAAGTTTTCTTTATTGTGCTTAAATTTCTCATATTTAGGCACATCATGATGATTTGATCCAAGAAGTGCTATATGGTTGTAAGTACAATTGAAAATTTTGATATTCAATATGGTCTTGATTTGAAAAATAAAGGGGGAGTTTGTTTTTGATTGATGCCAAAAGGGGGTGTAGGATTTATTGAAATTTCTTTGTATGTTGGCACTTTCTAAGGGGGAGCTTTATTTGAACTTATTTGATAAAAGAAATCTTCATTTTGTTTGTCATCATCAAAAAGGGGGAGATTGTTGACCTTGGTCGATCAATCCTTGGTTTTGATGATTAACAAACCAAAATGTAGATTTGGGCTAATGTTTTTATGTGAGTAATTTGTTAGAACAGATTCTTGTGGCATAAAAGAAGAAGCAAAAACAGGGCACTCATGTCGGACGCTATCGGACGTCCGAAAGGATGAAGAACATCAAGAAGGAAACTCTGTCGGACGCTCGTGAAGAAGCATCGACGTCCGGAAGGATCAGACGCACGCCTCGGACGCACATCGATCGCATCGGACGTCGAGAAATTTCGCAAGATGTGATGACTCTCTGCCTACTTCGGACGCAGGGTTCGGACGTCCGACAGGCCAACGGCTAGTTTTGACAGCAATTAATATTTGACCGTTGGAGAGTCTTTTGGAGCCATTTCTCACCTTCTATAAAAACCCAAAAGCACAAGAAGACTAGAGACTTTTGCCAACACAAATACAAGCTTACAAGTGAGATTTTTGAGTAGAAAGATTCTTTGTTGGTTGTATAAGGGGTTGGGAAAGTTGGGTTGTGAGGTTGCTCAAGTGAAGGTTATTCTCTAAGAGGAGTAAAACCTTGGTGAAGGTGAACCTATCACTTGAAGTGGTAAAACCTTGGTGAAGGTTGCCTCATTTGTGTAAAATAGTTCTTAATTGGGTGAGTGATCTTTCAAGTGTAGGTTGTTGAGGGTTAACTAAAATAGTTGTAAAACTCCTTGGCTCAACCAAAGTGTGTTTGGGGTGAGGAAGGAGTGAACCTTCACTTGTACATCTTGGTTAGCATCGCCATCAATTGAAGAGGCTATTGGATTGATATTTGGTTTGCATTTCTTATCTTTTCTCTTTAATTAAGTTTTCTTTATTGTGCTTAAATTTCTCATATTTAGGCACATCATGATGATTTGATCCAAGAAGTGCTATATGGTTGTAAGTACAATTGAAAATTTTGATATTCAATATGGTCTTGATTTGAAAAATAAAGGGGGAGTTTGTTTTTGATTGATGCCAAAAGGGGGTGTAGGATTTATTGAAATTTCTTTGTATGTTGGCACTTTCTAAGGGGGAGCTTTATTTGAACTTATTTGATAAAAGAAATCTTCATTTTGTTTGTCATCATCAAAAAGGGGGAGATTGTTGACCTTGGTCGATCAATCCTTGGTTTTGATGATTAACAAACCAAAATGTAGATTTGGGCTAATGTTTTTATGTGAGTAATTTGTTAGAACAGATTCTTGTGGCATAAAAGAAGAAGCAAAAACAGGGCACTCATGTCGGACGCTATCGGACGTCCGAAAGGATGAAGAACATCAAGAAGGAAACTCTGTCGGACGCTCGTGAGGAAGCATCGGACGTCCGGAAGGATCGGACGCACGCCTCGGACGCACATCGATCGCATCGGACGTCCGAGAAATTTCGCAAAGATTTGATGACTCTCTGCTTACGTTCGGACGCAGGGTTCGGACGTCCGACAGGTGGTTCGGACGTCCGACAGGCACCTGTCGGACGTCCGACAGGCCAACGGCTAGTTTTGACAGCAATTAATATTTGACCGTTGGAGAGTCTTTTGGAGCCATTTCTCACCTTCTATAAAAACCCCAAAGCACAAGAAAACTAAAGACTTTTGCCAACACAAAATACAAGCTTACAAGTGAGATTTTTGAGTAGAAAGATTCTTTGTTGGTTGTATAAGGGGTTGGGAAAGTTGGGTTGTGAGGTTGCTCAAGTGAAGGTTATTCTCTAAGAGGAGTAAAACCTTGGTGAAGGTGAACCTATCACTTGAAGTGGTAAAACCTTGGTGAAGGTTGCCTCATTTGTGTAAAATAGTTCTTAATTGGGTGAGTGATCTTTCAAGTGTAGGTTGTTGAGGGTTAACTAAAATAGTTGTAAAACTCCTTGGCTTAACCAAAGTGTGTTTGGGGTGAGGAAGGAGTGAACCTTCACTTGTACATCTTGGTTAGCATCGCCATCAATTGAAGAGGCTATTGGATTGATATTTGGTTTGCATTTCTTATCTTTTCTCTTTAATTAAGTTTTCTTTATTGTGCTTAAATTTGATATATCTTTGTGCATCATTGTGAATTTGTTTGTACTCATTGGGTTGCACCGGGCACTTACAAGTGTCAATTCCAGAGGGAGAACCTAGTGACAGGTGCCTCTGGGGCTTGGAGTTATTTACCTCGGCCTAGAGAAGGTGGAGCGGTGAATGTCACACCGCGGGTGGCTACCCCCTCCAGATTGGCCGAAGTCCTGGAGGTATTTTCTGGGACCGGGGTCAATGGGGTAGTGGCCGTAGCGCCAGGAGCACTCTTTTTCTTCTGGACCCCTGAGGTCTGGCCAGGGGCCTTGCGTTTCTATGGTCGCTTAACCACCGTAACCGCTCCTAAGGTGATCAGATCCGAAACTCTTGTCACTGCACAAGGAAGAAAGATTAATAAAAATTAAAGAAAGTGAACAACACGAAGTGATGAATGAAAGAGTACAATATTTTTGGAGCCGAATAGAGAAGGGGGTCAATCCGGGGTGATCAGAGCTCGGCTAATGCCCCCATTAATGAGGACCGCTTCGGGGTAGGCCCAACAATTAATCCTGAGACTCGACCCAAGGAGTTTCCGAAAACCTTCCTCGTCGTGCTTTCCCGGGGAAAAGTCTTTCGCCGAGATGGGGGCCCTCCACCAAAAATCCCTTGGGAAATTTTCAGCCGGGACAAAAAAGAAATTGTGCTTCTACTCCTTTATGGATGTGGGAGCGTCTTCCACCAACTTCGGCACAGTCTTGCCTCGGTTCCCGAAGTAAAACCATCATTTCTTAC